ACACACACACACACACAGACAGACAGACACAGAAGTAGAAAGTACAGGTATTTGAGTTCAACATGTGAGAAGTAGAAAGTACAGGTATTTGAGTTCAACATGTAAGAAGTAGAAAGTACAGGTATTTGTGTTCAACATGTAAGAAGTAGAAAGTACAGGTATTTGAGTTCAACATGTAAGAAGTAGAAAGTACAGGTATTTGAGTTCAACATGTAAGAAGTAGAAAGTACAGGTATTTGTGTTCAACATGTAAGAAGTAGAAAGTACAGGTATTTGTGTTCAACATGTAAGAAGTAGAAAGTACAGGTATTTGTGTTCAACATGTAAGAAGTAGAAAGTACAGGTATTTGTGTTCAACATGTAAGAAGTAGAAAGTACAGGTATTTGTGTTCAAAATGTAAGAAGTCAAAGTAATCAGAAAAATAAGTAGTGGAGTAAAGTACTGATACCAGAAAAATGTACTTAAGTACAGTAACAAAGTATTTGTACTCCACTACTTCCACCTCTGCTAGCAGTTCTCTCACCTTGTAGGAGGTGAAGAAGAAGCACTGCGTGCGATGGCCGCGCCTCTTGATGTGGTTGAAGGCCAGCATGGGAACACGGGGGCCGATCACCAGAAACCAGACGATCAGAGACACGAACGCAGCCTGACGCCTCGTCATGAGGTTCACCCGGTGGTGAGGGTGGACCACCTGCAGAGAGAGCTAACGTTAGTATTCTGGCACCATTTTAGGATGAAAACACAAGAAATGATATTCTTCGTACAAAAATCACGAGAGAATTCATTATTTTGAGACCAATTTTCAGTTTTCTCTCTCTTTACAACTCTTTTGAAACACAGAGCGGTAACGTTAGCTAAACCCTGTCAACACACGACTGTTGGCGGTAGATGTTATCCCCTCACCTTGAAGTAGCGGTAGATGGCCACCACGGTCATCAGTGCGATGCTAGCTGAGCGGTTGGAGAACATCAGGAAGAGGTTGATCCGACACATGGCGTCTCCGAACACCCAGTGACCGAGGAGCAGAGCGTGGATCCTCAGAGGCAGACTGACCAGCGCCAGGAAGTCTGCGATCACCAGGTTGAAGAGGAACAGCGTGTTGGGGTTCCACTTCTTCACCTTAAAGCAGAAGATCCACAGAGCAACTGCATTACCCAGAAGCCCCAGGGTGACGTCGATGGTGAGGACGGGGGGCAGGAGGAGACCCTCGAGTTGGATCCCGACCGGAGGGCAACCGCCAACGGGGGGCGCGGTCGTGAAGTTCAACATCGTGGTGACGTTTAGCTCCGTTAGCATCTCGGCTAATTCTATCTTTACTCTAACCCAGATGAACGTTTAGTTGAGAGTTTCCAGTGAGACGGACAAAGACAGGATTATTTTTAGATGATTCTCATAAATAATGTTGTGTTTTTAGAGGGTGGACGGTGCACACTGGGAGATGTCGAGATTCAGGATGTTTGCCAATTCCCCTTTTCACCTTTTCACCTTCCTCCTTTTCTCTGAAAATGAGGAAAACACAGAGAGTACTTTTCAGCGTAAGAACATGAAGTAATGTGACTTCCTGTTCAGATAACACATCTTGCACAAAACACAGGGAGTCTAGTGTTAAATAAAGTGGTTCATTACAGGCCATTTGATATTATTCTTAAAGCACATTTTAAAGACATTAAAGCGTATAATATTTATTTATTTTAGTTTCTTTTTCTTATTTTTGCATTTACATATTATTTATAATATCTTATTTTTATTTTACATAATTTATTTTTTTAGATATTCTTTATTTATGATATTTAATTCTTTATTTTTTATATTTAGTACACAACTGCCCCTGAACATCTCAGTATATTTTTTTTAATATATATCAATTTAATTAGGTTAAGCATTTTAAAGCTTTTAAAATAATGAAATAAATATTATAAATCTTACAAATTTAATTAAAACAGCAAAACATGGTTGATCCCTTTTTCTTCCAAGAGTTATATTGTATGTATTTTATATATTTTGTATCTAAACATTTACTTTGAATTAGTCAATTTCTATTAGACTTAATTAGTTATTCCAGACAATTCCAAAATATACACACACACACACACACACACACACACACACACACACACACACACACACACACACACACACACACACACACACACAACACACACACCACAAACAACACACACACACACACACACAACCCCACACACCACACAACAGACCACACACCCCACACACACACCCCACACACACACCCCACACACACAGACACACAGACACAGACACACACACAGCCAGACAGACAGACAGACAGACACAGACACAGACACACACACACACACAGAATCTGGTTGCCCTCCTTGATGAAATGGCAGGGTGAGGGACTCATCCACTCACATGTAAAAACAATTACAGAAAAATGACCCAAAAACCTAATGATGGTAATAATAATAACAATAATAATAATAATAATAAAGCTTTATTTGCAGAGCACTTCTCATGCACCAAATGGAAAATGTCAAATTAAAAGATTCAGAAAATTGAAATTAAACTTAATTGATAATTTTTTAATGCACTTAATTTAATATTTTCTTTTCTTCACATTTTAATAAATATATATTAAACATAATGAAACATTTGATCATTCATTTATAGGAAAACCCGTTTTGAACACGCATGTAAGTTAAACACTATAATGAAGAGTATGTAATACAGTGTGTTTCAGTGATGAAGCAGAACTCACCGTGCGAAGGACTCCAATCAGAAGCAGCTCGTTAACTCACTCTGTGTTTTTATGATGAAGGAGTCACTTCCTGTTACGTCACAGCTGACGTCAGACGGACCAGTTTCTGCAGGTTTTTAAACGCTTCCTCTCCGGGTTCAAAATTACAAACTTTACAGGAAGTTTAGAAATCTCAGGATTTACGCTGTTCCTGCAAAAAGAGACATTTCTGCATGTTGGGGTTTTTCCACTGTCTCTGAAATAAGATCCACGACGTGAAGAGGGAATGCTGATTGGATGAATTTTAGTATTTTAAATCAATCAAACTTCAGTTATTTATATTCTGTGACGTCCATTTGCTCCTTGTTCAGGTTCAGGTTCAG